TAATAAAGAATAGTTCAGTTGCAAAAATATATTGATTCTTTATTTTCTTGTTTTTGACAATAAGGTTCACAAATAATTTTTTGGGAAATTCCCTGTAGCATCTTAATTTATTTAATATTATTATCATTATTATTAATCTGTTCATTTAATATTCTATACTTTTTGTTTTTGGCAGCTATTATCCTATTCGAAGATTATACTTCCATTATAAATACAGTTTATGTCCACATTTGTAACTGAATGTAACGTGGAGTGTGCTTATCCATCCTAATCATGCTGAGCTTAGACGTTGGTACTAGTTCATGCAGTCAAGTCTGTCAGAACAGGTCAGATCACACGACAGACATGCAGTAATAAGCCCTCATGATAAATCCTGCCATCTTTGTTCTAGCTTTGTGATCTAATTACATCATTAGATTTATGTATATCATCAAAATATTTAAAGCACATATGACCGATCATGAGCCAGTCAGTTTGTTGGCAAGGTTCATCTATGAAATTCAGGAACTATGTAGCAACAAAACACTGTATCGGTGGGGGCACTATGTATTAAGGACTTGGTACAAGGCATGGTGAACCTCATCATGCTGGCTAACAAAAAATAGACAACAGGCCAAGGTGGAGCTCGTGGAATGTCAATGTGCTAAACTCTAATCCCCGGAAAGAAAAGATACCAGTTGTCTTTGATAAATCTTTTTTTTCAAATAATTTGTGTGTGGCAACATCTATTGGGAGTAACCATGGACAAGGTAAATGCAAGCAATTGGAAATATTGCACATTTTTCCCTGTAAGTGCCAACCTAATTCTCATAAATATACCATATAATAATTTTACTGATAACACAAAACAATAGACAAGCAGACTAAAATACCCCAATGTAGTGGGATCGTCTCTGCTTAATTAAGTATCCCCTGTTGAAAAGGTCTGATCCTAGCAACTTCTAAGAGGAATGAACCTCTAGTTTTTAGGAATCCTGATTTAGGATTGCAAGAGTAGAGAGATGGGAGAACACAAATGACAAAGTTTCACTTGATATCTGCCTCTGTCTCCTGTTCCCTACAGCATGACAGCTCACCCATCTGGTGTACCAATCAGAAGACACAACCCAAGCAATCACCACAATGCCTCCACCAAACCTTTTCCCACTATTTCCACCCTGCCTGGAAGTTTTCACAAAAGGGAAAAGAGATAGCTATCATGTAAGACATACCATCATTTTCTTAAGATTAAAACAGTTCCTCTTGAACTTTTCTTAGATACTCAATACATTTTAAGAAGACTAACTAGAGAGCATAACTTATTTAGTCTGTTTAGCCACCAAATATCAGTGGTTTGTCATAATCATTACTTCAGCAGTGACTCCCAACATTAGAATTATGCACAGCTTCAGAATCTTGCAATTATAATAGTGAAAAAAATGAAGATTTGATACATAACAAAATGTATCAATGTTTCTTAGTATGGCCTGATCAAATACCTAATTTGTCAAAGCTCAAGGAAGGCCATACAGAGATGAGGAAAGTTCCACATTTCTTCGTTTTCAAAAGGTGCTCACCAAAGACTAGCTATGATGAGGTTTCCCAAATTAAAAGAACTATACACTTACTGCAAATGAATTTAAACCCCTCCTTAATCTAACATGGCTTTAAGGATAGTCTGTTAACTATGATAGATTTTCATCCTAAATTTTGTGAACACTTAAACATTATTCTATTTACAATCCAGTAATGAAGCTGATTAGTCAAACGAGGAAAATCAACAAACTTTTGCATGCATACACAGTAATATTGGTGAGATCCTGAATTGGATCATATATGTGTTTCATTGAAAAAATAAGATGAAATTTTCATCTCCCAATAAAAATCAGCCTTTCAATTGGAAGCTACTTTTCACGTGGTTTCCGTTGACTTACCAGCTAGATAATCTCAACAAAACAACATGACCTCTATGATCCAATAAAGTTTTTAAAACTAAGAGGCGTCTAATCCTAACAATATTGTACGTTTATCACAAAATAACATAGACCAAACACATATAATGTATATGGAGAACACATCAAAAGAAAAATGCATGTCATATTATAGTTTTCCTTGGAGAAAACAACAAAAAACAACAAATAAGAAGAATGTGTCCCTCAGCACTGGAAGTCATGAAACTAGTGGAGCTGGGCCAGTGATTAAGAATTCGTATTGGAGAATCAAGTGCATGCTAAGGCAATAAATGTGCAAAGATTACCATGGAACAAAGTGGTTTCAACTGCGTAGTTTTTTGTTTTACACAAAGCAGTGTCACTAATGGGCAGTTGGTTGTATAGCTCAAATCTCTGAACTTGGTGCACACAAGGAGCAAAAAAAAATCACTCACATGTTTGTATATAAAGCAAATGAAAAGAAGTAAATGTTGCTATTGTACTGAAACATACTTTTGTATCAAGCCCTCTTGTACTACTGATGGTTTACACAATTCCAACATGAACATTTTGTATGAATACATATAATAAAATAAATTTTCACTTTCTATTTCACATTTTTTCTATCAGTGTAGTGTTCTATCTAGTGAGCTTTGTGTGTTTATTGTAGTATTTTCATTGTATTTTGTTGCTAACATATATTTACTTTTTTCATTAACTATTAATGTCTTTGTTTGGCAGATACAATACCAGTTTACAAGTATTATGTATTTTGAACTGAGCCAGATTCTTCTTTAAATTTTGGCCTCTTATGGTTATAACTAAATGTATTAATAAATGGCAGCAAATCTTCCTAAGAGTTTGTAGTTTGTACTTTAAAAATCCTTTCTGAAAATTAATAATGCTGGATAAACGCAATAATATACTGTACCACCAATGTGTACTAACTTCCAGTTGAAAATATATTTGCAAAATTTGTCCAATTGCACTAACAAGAGCTTTTGACAGACTAGAACATACTGCACCTAGAAACGATTACACAGCATAGGAACAGTACCGTTCATCAGCTACTAGTATACACAGCGGTACTTGGTTGTTTTCACTGACAGAAAACATGGCACTTATATGACGATTAACATACCTTGAGTATTCAACACTGACTAGGGAAGGGGATGGAATAATTTTGCTTAACTGACTATATCAAAGGTAGAGAAGGTAGCCACCCTGATGTCTTTGCCAATCTCTGTAATCTGTTACTGGAGATGGAGCTTTTCACAATCCCAACAACCCTTGTGCTGTCCAGCACTCAAGCTGAACTTTTGACACTGGGCTGATTTGGATTTATTTTCATTCTTATTGGCCTCAATCTTTCACTGTTCTCCTTACTTGTTGTACCTGCAGCTTTTGGGGATTTTAAATGTCATTTTACTACGCTGGATTTACATGACCTGAGCTCCATAGAATCTGCGCCTGATTATTGGGGTTAACTATTGACCTGGATAAAAGGACTAACTGGGCGTTCTGTGCCAGAGTCTTTGCCTCGACCCAAACCTTGCCCTGCATATTTATGACTATCAAGAAAAGTGAGCCTTCTATAGGTATTAGCCACCCCAGAATTTCCAACAGTACCCTTGTCCCATGGATTTTATCTATTGTTTATCACTGGAAGTTCATATGCACAGACTTGATATTGGCATGGCCTTCACCTCGATGGAATACTATTTGTAGCTTCTGACAAGGGCAGTGGCCACTTGTAACTATTGTTTCTTTGAAATGGACTAGGAATTGATCTTGCCATTTGCTTATTTCGCCCAGTGTTTTGAGACTTAATGTATCTAATCTGAATTACCCTTGGATGCAAAGTCATTTGATAAGTTTACCATATTTTAACCTGTCTGTGTGTGGCACTAGAACTAGTGTGAGTAGAAGCTAACAGGTTTCTGGGTAAGCTAAGCGGGCCATGGGCAAGGCTAACAATACACGATCTGTTGAGGTCAGTTCTTGATCTAAACTTGGTGACTGTGACAGGGCACTACTGATGTGAGTACTGAATCGTGCGCAGGTGGGGTGAGTTAGGGCCATTGTGCTGGGTTGGGCCCCACGCTATGAGGACTGGAGGTTACAGGGCCTGCACAGGGGTTGGGTGCACGGGGAAGGTGGTACCTCCAGGTGGGTAATCCATGTGCACATCTGAGGACTCGGGGGAATCTTAGCTGATGACTGATGCCCTGAGTGGACTGTGGGGGAGGTGTTGCCTACCTGACCGTCTGACCTTGAACATGTACATAGGCTCCAGCACGTTGACTTCTAGAGACATGGGTGCTCCCTGAGATTCCCAATGATCACACCAGCAGAAGTAATAACAGGCTGTGCTTGTGCGTTGCTGGTGTAACTGTTGACGTCCGGATGCCTCTGCTGAGTCTGGTATAAAGGGCTGTTTGTTTGCAAAGCATCTGCTGCTGATGTAAATGTCTTCTGAGCTTCTTCCTTTGTCTGATAAATCTGCTGTTGTAAAATGTTGCTGTTGCAACTGCTGCTGTTTCTGCCGCTGCTGCAACTGTTTGTTTGTTGTTGTAACTGTTTTTGGCTGTAACTGTTGTTGTTGTAGCTTTGCTTGCTGTAGTTTGCTGTTGTTGTAGCTGCTGCTGCTGGGGGTATTGCCTGTGTTGCAGTTGCTGTTGCTGTAAAGCTTCTGTGCTGTATTGTTTTTTGTTGTGTTGTTGTTGTTGTAGTTGTTGCTGCTGTAACTGCTTTGCTGTAGCGGCAACTGCTGCTGTTGAACTGCCCTCGTGCTTCTGTCGTCTTGAAATATCTGCTGCTGCTGTTATCAGGTGCGTGTTGCTGGGGCTGGGTGTCCCCATAAATACTATTGGCTTCCAGCACCTTTCAAAGTTTATGCTTCTCTGCATAACTCTGTTCATCTTCAGTTTTTGCAGCAAAGTCTACTTGTCTTTTGGACTAATACTTGAGTGTTGCGGCTGTTGTATGTTTGTTGCAGTCCGTTTGGTGAGGAAGTGGAACGGAGGTGGGGCGAGACTGTTGGCCCTGTCAAACTTGTTGATTGTATGATTTTGGTGCAAGGTGCCATGCTCACAGCAAGGGGAACAGTGGTAGGAGCCCTAGTGCCTTTTTGGGTTGGCATTGGGTACAGCCTGGTTTTATCTGCTGCTGTTCTGTTGGAGGTGTGTAAAACATGGTGTGACTGTGCTGAATTGTTTGTACAGATGGAGTCATGTGAGACTGAGTAGCTGTTGTTATCTGAGGTTGAGGAGTTGATATTACTTGTAAAGGTGTGTGAAGACTGTGTAGATGGACCCATCTGTACGCTGGGGCAGCATGTGATTTTACATGGGGTAATGTCTGGGAAGAGGGGACGGTCTGAGGTTGTGAAGAAGGAGCTTTGAAGTTATGGACTGAGACAACTGGGCTTGCACTGGGGTCTTGGGTTTGGTTTTGAGTATGAGGCTGAGGGTTAAATTGTGTGGCTGAAGTAGGAGGGGCTGCTGAGGCCTGTGCGCCATTGGATGGGGTTGAGGTGCGTATAGTAGTAGAGCTATCAGTTGGAGGTGTTGCAGCGGTGTGTGCATATACTCTTGGTGCAGTAGAAACAGAAGACTTCATGTGGGACACAGTCATTGTTTTGAGAAGATACTGGTACCCTCTGAAGCTTGAGGTTTGTGTTGTATTTACACCTGTTTGATGTATGACTCAGTTACAAAAGATGAGTGTCCTTTGCGTCGTGGTAACTGTCCGACGATAACACCTTTCCATCTGAGTTCACAACGTTAACCCGAGCACCTGCTATGATGGATTGACTTTCCTTCTCATCGCAAAGAGTTTGTTGGTGTAATTACAACATTTTGCTTAACACTGGTGGTACTGCACTGAATTGGGGTGTGGAAGCAGTGTAGTTGGAGGAGGAAGTTCCTTGTAGGATACTAATTCAAGCTGTGTGTCTGAGTTTTCTCCTTTGAGATTTTGACAGTTCTCTTTGATAATTGCTTTTGTAATTCAGCCTTTCTGCTTGTCATCACTCCGTTGTGAGAACCTTTTTTCCTCGTCAGCCTTGCTTGACCAATGAAGCCTAGATCACACAGGCTGTTCAGGGTCTGGGCGGGCTGGGGGAGGCTCTGCTGCTGTATGCATAATACCTTTAAGATGGGCATTGATGTCCCCATGCCTTACTTCGTGAATGACAGTGATTGTTGGGGTGTAGCCATGTGGTACTGGGCAACTGTGACAGAGTGTCCGTTCTTTCACTGCTGCCATCATGCTACAACACTTTCTACCACCTCCAGTAGCACCTCCCCTTTTTGCACCAGTATTGTGGAAAAGAGTGTCAAGCTTTGCAGTAACACCAAAGTACTACTCTGACTGGCAAGGGTGCCATTAATCCCTGAGCAGGTGCTTGCCTGTCCCTGGTTTATCAGCTGCGATCCTGACTATCACGAGAAAGAGAACACTTCCAGAACCTGACACTTTCATCATCACTCTGCGGAGGAGTTATAACACACTGGAAGGGATCACTTGAATTATGGTTGTCTTCACACGGAATATTTCCTGCCTATCAACTTCCATGTCTGACTCAGGAATTCAAGCTCTGTAAGGTAAGACTAGGATGTCGAGGACTTGTGGGTTCTGTGAGCACTGGGGTCTCTCTACACTGTCCACCATCCCGAGAACGCCTGCTGTCACCATCCTGACTCCCACTCTTGTCAGGACCATCCCAGCCAACATCTTCCCCGAGAGGAATGGATCCATTCAACTGTATTACTGTTATAAACACTTTCCAAAGATTTTTCTTGTTTTCTCTCTAAAAGCTCACGCCTTTGTGGGGGCTTAGGAGGGTTCCTTTTTTCTCTGGGTTCCCTCATGACAACGTACCAAGCTTGCTGAACTGGTTCGTTGTCCAGTGCTTCCCTTTCAAAAAGCTCGTACTCCTTTCACACTAGCAGTTATTCCTCTTTCGTAACTTACAGAACGCAGGCCACTATCTATTGGAATGATGTGTACATATCTTCTGTATCCAAGAATAGGCAGAACTGTGGTCAATCATCTAAAAAGGGAATATCTTTGAATGTCTTGTGTGGGAGTTAGAGTGCCGTCACTTGCATGGGAAGAGTTGAGGCAAGTCGTCTGTTTTCTAGAGTTTGTTCTCTGATTGCTTGAAGGAGACGTATGATCTGATTTTGTAAGGCCCTGCAAATATTGATCATATACAGTTACAATTAACTGGTGCCTAAGCAAATGAACAAAATTACCATAATTCAGAAAAATGAGCCTGTGTGACACTCGCACTGTAAATGCTAATCTGAACCATCTCAATACAAATGCTTTTCTAGATTTTTTGAAAAAATCTTTGAGTTCCATTATCACCTATGATTCCATTAACAGGCATGCAAGTCAAGATCGAGATAATCTTGAATGTACCTTTTAAAATGGTTCTTGTTCATATGAGTATTTCTGTCCAAAGTTTGTCTTTATGCTCCCCAATGCATTCTCCCAATAGAAATGTTTTCATATATTAATGATGACTGTCCATTTCATGTCAACGTTCTTTCTGGACAAAGGTGGGGATTCCCATTCTTGATCTCTAGAACATCATACTTAGTCATGCATCAAAATTAAATAAACATGGGAGAGGTGATCTCAGGAAAGTACAATACAAGGAAGAAGGAGAAAAGCACTTACTCTGACTGGATGGAGTCATGCTCAAGAGAAGATTAGAGATGCAACTGGTCGGGTGATGATCCGATTCTACAGTACGTCCTGGTGCTTGAGTAAGCGACCCGTTTACCATAGGAAGAGTGTGTCGCGTCGTCTCTTGTGCTGCCCTGGAGGAATGCCATGACATCCATATCCAAATCTTTTTTTTTTTTTTTTTTTTTAAGCTTTTATAGTGTTTACTCAACCAGGAGAGACTTTTGGAGTTAACTCATACATTTTAATTTTTTAAGTCAACAGGCTTTCCCCAGAGATGGCATCCAAGAGTCTTTTTTTGGGGGGGTTTTGGGGGGGGGGAGGGGGGGGGGGGGGTTGTTCTTTATTCTTCTACTATTCCTTGTTGAAAAGTCAAGACAACGCATGAACTATTAAAGCTTGAAGGTATTATTCTTAATGGACTTCTTGGCAACAACATAATGAGAACTGACTTACAATTAAACTAAACTTATATATGTAATATTGTTCCAACTATTCACTCCTAATAATACCTTCTTATAAAATAAGCCTAATATTAGCTGTATGTAGTTTTCATATATAATGACTAACTCCAAAACAATTAATATTAAACATTTCATTTCATCCCATGAAGTGTCTCTGGCAGCATCAACAGTTTAGGCAGTATTAATAGGCTTCTTACTAAAATCATCACTATGCTTCGATGAAATTTCATGTGCAAAACATCATGATTATTCATCTTTAAAAAAAAGGAGGAGGAACAATTTACAATAAAAGGAAATTCTTGAACAAAATAAAGCTATTTGTTATTTCATCTATTTCCTTATTCCAATCATTTCACATCCTATAGAGAGAAATTTAGACACATATTGTCCATAGTTGTGTATTGGAATCATGTAGCTTTTCATAGCTTGGCCTGTAACTGGCAAACACTGAGTCCTTTAACCTTTCATCAGTTATTATCTGCTCTTTTAAGTTAACCTATGTAATTTTTTTGTCACTTATAAAACTCAAGAATACTCCCAACAAAGTGTAATTTTACAATCACA